TCTGGCTTCTTAGCATTAGTCTGAAACTTATACGTCTGAAACTTATGTTACTGCTACTTTAAACCATGGGTCGCCAACCTTTTTAAGCCTCTGTGCACCTTTGGAATTCTGGTGCAGTATGGCTGTCATACAATGGCTGCTGCAGAAGGCAAAGCCAGCCACAAAATAGTTACCACAGTTTACTTTCAACCACACAATAAAAGATCCTTGTGCTGTGGTGGCAACTGCTGCCAAAGCAATATTTTTAAAAATCTACAAAGCCAATCAAATCTCCTGTGGCCAATCAGAAGCCTTGCTAGGCAAAAGCCCGACTGGCCCTGCCCACTTTCTTGGCAGGCACCATGAAAGGTGTCAGCAGGTGCAATGGCACCCATGGGCAGCATACTGGGGATGCCGGCTTTAAACTAAACCCAAATCAACAAAAATACCACAATAGACACTGTTGGACATGCCACTTTATTTGAGACAGTTTCTGTAAAGTACTTAAAAACCCTAACACAATAGCTAAGCACAGATAATAATCATCCTATAAATATAAAAGCCCAGTGTACTGGCACTGTTCAGCCCTGCCATTGGCTGTACGCTCCACCAGCCATTGGTCCATTAATTGCCACTCAAGAGTACTCGCGTGCTATTGGCTGCATGCTGGGTCTGCTCCTCTCCTCTGCCCACTGCCACTCCAACTGAATAAACTGCCAGAACTGTTATGTGGCTCACTTTCCCCTCAATGGCTGTTGCTAGGCAACCAACCATGGTTCTGTCAGTAGAAAGGCAAAGGCAGGAGGCCCTTTCCAGGCCTACTTTGGCCTTTGTGGAGAACTCACTGGGACCAGTCCTGATTAGGGCTGCCAGCTCCAGGTTGGGAAATTCCTCGAGATTTTGTGGTGGAGTCTATGGAAGCCAGAGTTTGGGGATGAGAGAGGCCTCAGCTGAATAGAATGTCAGAGTCTATCCTCCAAAGCAGTTACTTTCTCCAGGGGGAGACTTAGGTTCTTGCTATGGAAGCTGAGTGGGTGATTTTGGACCAGTCACAGACAAAGACACGTCTCCTGTTTGGCTCCTCTGCAGCTGGCTGGCTTGTGAGGTGAGCCACCAGCCCTCAAACCATTCCCTTCTCTTGCTGTGGGGTTAACTTCCCCCTCAGTGGCTGTTGCTAGACAACCAAACTTGGTTCTGTCAGTAAGAAGGCGGAGGGAGGAGACCCCTTCCCAGGTCTACTCTGGCCTTTGTGGGGAACTCATTGGAGCCAGTCCTGACGGACTGCCAGCTCCAGGTTGGGAGATTCCGGGAGATTTTGTGGTGGCGTCTATGGAAGCCAGAGTTTGGGGAGGGGAGAGGCCTCAGCTGAATAGAATGCCATAGAGTCCACACTCCAAAGCAGTTATTTTCTCCAAGGAGAGAGATCAATCTATTGTCTGGAGTTCAGTTGTGATACCAGGCGATACCACAGCCAGTGTGGCACAGCAGTTAGCACCTCAGAGCAGGGTCTGCCAGAGCCAGATTCTTGCTGTGGAAGCTGAGTGGGTGATTTCGGACCAGTCACTGACTTTCAGCCTAACCTACCTCACAGAGTTGTTGTGTAGATCAAAAGACGGAGAGAAGATTGATGTAACCTGCTTTGGTCCCCACTGCAGAGAAAGACTGTACTTTTCCTCCTGGGGAACCATTATTGCCAATCTCCAGGGGAGGGCTGTAGACCACTCAGAATTACAACAGCTCTCCAGATGGCAGAGATCAGTTCCCCTGGAGAAAATGGTGGATTCTGTGTCATTATACCCTGCTGAGGTGGCCACCCTATGACAGTCAGTGTGATGGAGCAGTTAGTCCTTCAGAGCAGGGTCTGCCAGACCCAAGTTCTTCCTGTGGTGATTTCAAACCACTCACAGACAATGTTCCCTCTAAGCTGTGGAGTCTTGTGAGCAAAAATTCTCCTTTGTGAGCTACTGACATTAGAGTTGTGAGTGAGCGATTTGGCGACTGCATAAATTAGTTGGCTCTTGAGCCGTCCTTCCTGAGCTAAGACAAAAATGTGTGAGCCGGAGGCTAAAAAATGGTGGGCTAGCTCACACTAACTCAGCTTAGAGGGAACACTGCTCACAGACTTTCAACCTAACCTATCTCACAGGGTTGTTGTGCAGATCGAAAGGGTGAGAGGAGAATGATGTGAGCTGCTTTGGTCCCCACTGTGGAGAAAGCCTGTACTTTTCCTAGGTAGAGGCTGCAGGGAGGGGGGAGATGAAAACTGAAGTGAGAGGGGCAGATAACCGTACGTTGATGGTTAGCTGGGAAGGAGATAGGGTTGCCAACTACAGGTTGGAAAACTCCTGGAGATTTGAGGGATGGAGCCTGGAGAGGGTGGAGTTTGAGAAGGGGTGGGACCTCAGACAGGTACAATGCCATAGACTCCAACCTCCAAACCAGCCATTTTCTCCCAGAGCCTCTTTTTAGAGCTCGTTGTATTTATTTCCACAACAAGCCTTATTCCTAGTGCATCAATAAAGCAGTATGACTTTCAGATCCAACTCATATCAATGTGTCTTGGGCTAAAGTTTGAGATTATATTCTACATATAATCACAGCAATGTTACAAATAAAAATCCAAATACAAGACTTCTAAAACCTTAATGCATTGTTTATTGAATGTCCCATTTTGTTGCCTGTACTAATTCACTCTGCATAATCCTCCTTGAGTCTCTGTGAGAAATAAGGTAAATAAATACAATACATATTACAATAAAATGAAATACAGAGCACCTTTATTAACAATCACAAATGAATCTTTTCCTTTTACATATACATATCTGATAATTGTAGAAGAAACTCAAAGACAAGATTGCAAACCACTGATGAGAAACAAAACCATATTCTACAGCAGAATAAGGATAAGCAAACCCCACCCCCATCTGCAGCAGAATGTGGATAAGCAGCCCCCCCCCCCATGTTCAGTCTATTTACAATGCAACAGACTAGAGATTTCACTGAAAATATGTAGTGATGTATGCATAGGTTATGGTCTTGGTGACTGAGCACATGATTCTGGAGATCTTTAATTTTATAGTTCAGATGCAATGGTACTTTGAACTTACAAAGAAACTTGGTACCAACAAGTCTGAAACAAGTATGTTGAATGTGTTACCCTCATTGGGACAGGGCTACAGTTCAGTAAAACAATTTCTAGCTTATAAATAATCCTGCTTGAAACCCTTGAAAGCCAATTTCAGCTGGGCTACATAGCACAGTCCAAAAGATTGATTGGTCTAATAATTCACATACCAATATATTTGACAGAATTCCCACTGGTCAGAAGTAGCAACCTTATGCCTGCCATAGATAATTTCAGCATTAAAAAAATCTCCACAAGTGAAGAAAAGCCATTTTGTCCCTAAATTTCATTATCTCTATCTTTAATCTACAACAGTAGCTGTTAAACAACAGCAACAACACAATATTAGATAACTTGGTTCCTCAAGCTAGTTAAACTCACAGTGCAGTCCTAAGAACACATTTCTGGGAGTAAGCACCACTGACCAATCCAAAAGACAATTACACTCTACACTGATGTAAAAGGAATCCATACAAATGTTAAATAATACACTCATTGCTCATAGAAGAAAATCAGTTCACCAGCAAAAGGGAATGTCTATCCTATGCCTTCTCATTTAAATGGCAGGCACTACCATTACAAAACAAAACCCTAATCAGAACATCCAGCTGCAATCTTTCCAAAATGCTCACATACAGAGCAAACTGGCAAAATCTCATTTAAAAGGATACCTGAAGGTTGGTTTCATTAAAATAAGCAGGGGGGAGGGAGAGAAGCACAGCCCCATGAACCATATTTAATAGCAAGTTGTGGATAAAATTTGATGTCAGTTAATTAACTGCACACCCTGAAAAATACACAAAGTGCAAGTCAGGAGAAAAACTGGGCAAGATTAAATGTCAGATTCTTTCGAGGACAGATAAGAAGTGTACCCTTTGCTTTCACTACCTTGCAGAATATCACATCTCACGGCTGTGGTACAGACAGAGTCAATACAGGACCAGGAGCCTTCCCTGATCTGTCAAACAGAAGGTAGGTAGCCAGACAGCACACTGTAGAGCACATTTTTACACCACAGAAGGCAGGTCCAAACATGAACTTCAATCAACAACAACATACAAAAATAAATGCACAGGAAGAAGGGAGGCAGGGGAGAATTTACCCCACCAAGTCACAGGAGATAACACAGGTGGTTACTATTCTCATAAGTAAAAAATTAAAATACAAGTTGATTCTGGAGTAGACGACTCGCATGATGGAATGCCCCTTCACCAGGAATTATGCCTACACTAAGAAAGTTAGTATGAGGAAGAACTACACGAGAAATATTAGACGCTGGGGAGATTGTTTCCACCGCGTACACTGGAATAGTCAATCACTCGAGGCGACCAGTCAGCCACAGATTTACTACGCCATCCGCGGCGAGACGTCTGTGTTCAAGCGAGAGGCAGGCCGCGCCGTTACCGCGGTGATCAGGGCCGAGAGCGCGGCCCAGTGAGCCCGCTGTCACTCGCTCACACAAAATGGCTGCGGCGGCTGCCGAGAGCCAGGCTACGAGCCCCCCCGCCCCTAGACAACGCGAACGAGGCCTGAGGGCCGGGCGACGCGGCCCCCACTCCACCGCCATCACGCATCCGCACTGCAACGAGGGCGAGGCCTGCAAAGAGAAGCAGGCCCGGGGGCGCGGCCAGGATCCGGGGAGGGGAGAGACAAGCCTTTCCTGTGGGTGAAAGGTCAGGGGGGCGGCGGCGGCAGTAGGAGCTGCGGCTGCCGCCACATGGGGAACGTTGCCCCTCATCCTCCGCAAGAACACGGAATACGCCCGAAAGAGGTGGGATACGAAGGCAACGCCAACCGAGGCTTCGGCAGCCCGGGAAGGCCTCACACGAAGCCAGGCAAGGGGCGAGAAGTACTTCGGCCACCGCCCCCCATCGCCGCCTCCTTCCAGTTCTCCTACCTGACAGGGGCAACAGCTTTTGGAGGGGAGGGGGTTATTTGTCAGCGGCGGCTCCGGATCTGCCCGGGGGGGGTCAGAGTTCGTGACCCCGCCCCTTACGTTCGGTGCTGTCCCGTCTCGCGTGGCGTTCGCCTCCCCCCTCCCCTTTCGTCCGCAGTCGCCACCGCCGCTACCAGCACGGCTGCGCTTGCGCAAAGCGGGCCCATCACAGAGGAGGCTGAGAGAATGTCACCTTCGTGCAGACGGGTAAAGGG